TAATGTATCTTGCAATATATTAATATTTATTTTTATACCATGTATAAATATCACTGTATAGTGTTTCAAGATTGTGTGTGTTTTTAATCACTGTGTTTATCAACACAGGTAAACTGCTAATGCTAAAAATTCACTGGTTTACCAAAATACAGGCTTATTTGTGGGGCCTATCCAGTACAGGGTGATAGAAGAGAGGAGTGCTATGTTACTTTGCTCTGTCATTTAGACCTGCTTTTTTTCATCCATGGTTTCTCCATCTCTACCAAGGGCTTGCTGTCTTCTTCTGGTTCCTCTGTTACCAGCTCTGAGATAAAGGAGACTAAGTGTGGAGAATGGTGGAGAAGTGTGATATGCAGACATTTCTGAACTGTCAAGTTAGCTGACACCTTGCTCTTGAACTTCCTTGCCTTCAGAATGAGAAATAAATTGTGCTAAGTCACCCAATCTGTAATATACTATAGCAGCCTCAGAAGACTAAAACAGTCATAGACCCTTCTGTCTGATTTCTATTGATCAGAATTCAGTCACATGACCTGGCTTGAAAAAGACTGGGAAATTACTCTAACTTTTAAAAGAGGAGAAATGTGGATTCTGCCCTCTTGATCAATAAATACCTTTTTTTCCATTTCTTCTTTCTATGGGACACTGAAAGCCTCTCTCCAAGGGATTCAACACAAAGTCTAAGATTTCTAGGCAATATAACATATTATTCATTATTCTCTTTGATCTTGTCTTTGACCTGGAAGATTTTTTTTTCCTTCTGTTATCTTCTTGTCTCTGTCTTTAGTAAGCATTTTAATCCTGCATAACTTTTTCAGACTGGTTCCTATGGAATCAAACTTGATTCCAAAGGTTGTGTTACAGATTGAATAATAAAAGGCAATAAAATTCCCTAAAGTATTGATAGGCTCTTAATCTATGCAGTCCACAATATTCTCTTGATATATTTCTTTGCCTTCTCACCTCTAAGTTTCTCTTTTTTAGCTTACTGGCACACCCACACCCTTAGTCTAAACATGTTCCAGATCTGAGTTAAGTAGGAAAACTTACAAAAGGATTTTTAAATTCTTATAAAGAATTGGAGTCCAGGCAAGTACTTCACAACCTGAATAAACCCAAGTTTCTGGGTTTTTTTCTATTCCTTTTCATTTAATGTTTCCTATTCTTTTCTAAACTTATCTTTTTAGGTAATACATTGTTCAGCATAGTAAATAACCATATCCAAAAGATATCAACATTTTTTAACCTACCTCCTTTCTTAAAGGTAGATCTCAGGAGACATATCTTCTCTCTTCTACTAGTTTTTAAATGTTTGACACTGAATAACACAGATATATAGCTGTCCATCCTGTCTGTTCCTTCACTACCTACCTCCAGTCTGATAAGCCAGTAATTAAATGTTGGAAATTTCAGTTGCAAAAGCAGCTTTTAATATCTTTATTAAATTAAATCACACTAACCATTGAAATAATCAGCCTCAGAATGCTGAGTTCCTTTGACATTCACATCACCATCTACTACGTGTTAGCTGTGGCAAGGAGAAATGGGAAGTTTGTTCTCTGTTCCATGTAGTCACTCAGGTACCCAGACCCTTCCATATTTTGATACTGTTATCATAAAGGCTCAGGGTATTCCCATTGGAGTCTTTACCTCAAACAATCAGACAAGGAAAAGGATATGGAGAGTGGGCACTAGAAGAAGTGAACATCACTTTTGCCCACATTCTTTTATCTAGAACTCAGTCATATGGCTTTACCTAACCTCAAGAGGGTTGTACAATGATCTCCAGTAACATTTCCTGGAAGAATAAGTGAAACACAAATACTGCTCAGCTGTATCATTATCTCCCTCAATTATCATATATTTCAAAGGATTGTTTCATTTAAAGATAAAGTAATATACAATTAGGCCTATTTAATTTACTCACTAAAGCACCATGCATACAATTCATTTTTACTACCATTGGCCTAAACCTAGGTTTACCAGATAAAATAAAGGATTCCCAATTAAACCTGAATTTCAGGTACACCTAGATAATTTTTAGTATAGGTGTTCTCCAAAATTGCATGTGTCAAACTTATACAAAAAAAAAAAATCTTTGTTTATCCAGATTTTAAATGTTACTGAATATCTTTCTTGACTGTATTGCCTAATCTGTTAATCCCAGCCTGAACAATTTTATTTTCATTATTTTGAAGCATGCTCAAAGATGTCAATATGAATGTCAAGTGTAAATATCATATGTTTTCCTTCAATTACCTTTAAACAAACACTGCTTCAAGCAAAAGGTATAGTGTTGACTAATATATGCTATTTAAATCTAATTTATGTATGCCTAGAATTGTTATTTATAACCAGTCTTTAGTGTGATATGACTTGATATTTTAATTAAATTTCAGTACAAACCCCTTAAAATAATATTATGCTACTTTTATTTCAATATATGTGTTCTCCTTTGTTATGGGAAAATTTGCAGAGAAGTGCAAATTACCAGGCTTAAGATAAATTAAGAAGCACTGACACCTTCACTGATCTTCATACCAAGAGCTGCCCATAAAGTGGTGCTGCCAAGATTGGATTGCTCCTGCATGCTCCCTCAGTGATTTTTATATTTTAATAAGACTGTTCATTATAGTTAGCTCCGTGTGTTGGAGCCATTAGATATTTATGGGGAATAGCGTATCATTATCTCAGTTGCATTCTGAGCCATTTGAGATGCTTTTAAGTTAGGGTGATATTTTCCCTGTCTCAATTTTACACACACTAGTGCCTATGTGCCTGTTCAGCTTATTTCTGTGTTTAGGTTCTTTGATTCTATTTTTCAACTTTATTGTGTTAAAGTGGCTGATGAACAGTGTCGCTGACTGGTAGATAGGAGTAGCCTCAAATTCAGCTAATTCAAAAATTTACTCTCTTAAGAGAGGGGCTGACGTTCTAAGTCCTTTATTTATTCTCTCACTCATCTAAAATTCCATCAGGGAATGTTCACACGCATCCCCTTATCTCTTCAAATTTACCATTAGGGATCTAAGAATGGAAATGATGATTTTGACATTACATGACCATAAGAAGCAAGGATGTTAATAGGAATTCTTAGTGCTTATAAAGGCAAAAAGCAAACACAACACACACTTGAAAATTATTAGTGAACAATCAAACTAAAGGTAGCTGTAGTACAACTGAGTAATTTTCAGTGTTGACATGTGAACCTATAGAAGATTCTAAGTAATATTTGTGATTTTCATGTAATAAAGTATATATTAAGTTTAGATTGGGATTTAGCAAATCTGTATTGTTATTCTTGTAACTGTATTCAAGTTTGGGTTGGGGGTGGATAAAGATGATACAGCAAAATCCTTTTCTCTCTCTTATTTGTTATTTGTTTATATTAAAATTATCTGAATTGTTTTAAATTTTTTATTTGCTACCCTATCTGGTGTGGCTAGCATTCGCATCAAATCCAGAAGTTTTCAAACTCATACATATTATTTTATTTCATATTCCTTATGTTTACTGTGATAGTAGCCTAGAATTGTTTATTTAGTAAAGATTTGTTGCACATATACTATTTCCACATGAGTACTAGGAATCCATGTATAAAATATAGAATTAATCTCTATCCCAACGACTTCACAAACAAGTACATATGTGCATGTGTAATCATTCCTCTTATTTACTACTATATTGCCAGTGAGAGAAGTTCTAGAGCATTGATTTTATCCACAGTTAAAATTCTCATCTTCCTCAAATTCAGATCTTGAAGTAGGATTACTAAGTTCTGTAGTTGCCAAATACATAACCAGAAAAACAGTATTACTTTTTGAATTGAATATCATTTTGTAATAGGCATTATGAAACTAAAAGAAAATGTCACAATTCCAAAAGACTGTCATACAAGCAATATATTTCGTTTTCCAGTAATTAACTGTATTCCTCTGATGTGGTTCACCTGACTGGACAGTGAAAGCTTTGTCATGGTTTTTGCAATCCAGTTTTATTTGGGAGTTAGTAAGGAATAAAATAGTCTGATATTTTAACTCTGTTTGTTTGGACTTAAATTGTTATGTGCCAATATTATATGCAGCAATTATTTCATAGAAAAATGAAACCTCAACACAAATCTGTAGTCCTAACTGTGGAAGAAGATAATGGGTCTAAATACAGAGCCAGAGTAGTTTCTGGAGGAAGAAATCAAGACAGAGTTATTTCAAACAGATGGGCCATGGGGCTTTGGAAACTGATATACTGGCCAGGCACAGAGTCAGTATGGATGGAGAGAGTAGAAAAGAGCCCCAAACTATAACTTGTATAAAGCTACATTCTATTCCTTTATTCTGCGCTATTTTTCATCATGATATTTACCGCTATCCACATTATTTCATACCTTTATTTTACTCAAGAAATATTTGTCAGGACTCCTTAAACCTTCCCTGGGACCTAGGATAAAATGAGAGAACATAAAAGTCTCTCTTCATGAAGCTTCCATTCTGGTTTCTGCATTTATTGTCCCAACATAACAGAATTTCTGTCAAAGTAAGGACTGTGGTTCTGTTTCCAATATGTTGTGTATAAACACATTTGCAATCCAACCATTGTATAGTAGGTGCTCAATATATTTTGTTGAATTAATAAATAGAGGCCTTTGGGTACATGGAGCAGGGGAGTGGTTCTAGATACTCAAGTATGTTGAGAGTAGTTTATTTCTACCACAGAAGACTGGGAGGCAACAAGGCTATAACAATGATATCAAATATAACGGTAGCCCATGGAATATGTCAGAAATTCCAGCCATGTACTGCTTTCTTTATGTGTGTGTTGAAAGAAAGGATTTTTTACACTAGGATGTAAGTTCTAGTAATGAAAGCTGGTTAGGAAGAGCTATTGTTATCTTGTATCCCAGCTATGCAGTTAGACTGATGTTCCTATGAAAATTGTCTATTTACAAAATGACGATGTTTATCTTGTCTGTAGGACTATGGGAGTAAATTTACATCTAAAACCACACTTTCCACTTCAAATACCCTTTTTCAGGAAGACCTGGGCCTATGGTTTCTTACAAACTGAATCAGCTCTTTGGGAAATAATCCTTCTTTACCATGGCAAGGGTGACATTGATAAAGAGAATGAAAATGATAAATCTATAAACCCTGGTCTTTACGTGCAGGAGAAGAAAAATGCAACCAAGAAAAGAATCACTACCATAAGATGGACAGAGAAGAAAGGTGGAAAAATGATTTAAGTAAGAATTAATGGCAAAGATTTTAAATGTAGTTTAAAAATTCAGTTAACACAACTGTTTGAAGATTAAGAAGTGAGGAGACAGGGGATTCAGGTACGCTGACGACCGATTATATCCCTGACAGTATGCTAGCCATTCCAAGTGCACAAACACATTTCACAGCCACTGAGGTGATTATTACCCTCCAAAATAGTGACTAAAAAATGTGGTACAGATCCTTACTATAACTTGCCTCAGGCCACATGTCTAGTTAGAATTGCAATCCTGTGCAGTCAAATGACTCCTAAGCCCACATACACCATTTGATATTTTGGTATTAATATAAAATATGAATATAAAATAAATTACACATCTCTGGGTCATAGTAATTTGTTGACACCTAATAAAAGGTTTCTAAGCCTCATGAAAGTATTTTAAAATAAATCTGATACATATGACCTTCAATATATTTTCTTTGATCCTAATTTAGTACGTCTAGAATCACTTGAAAGCCATGTGTGCAAAACACAGGCAAGCCACCTCCCTAAAATTAATTACGGGCTGTGTTTAAATCATCGTCTATTTTGCAAATCAGGAGAAATTAGATTAACAAGAACTGTGCAGGGCCCCAATCTATAGTACTTGAAAAATTCTGAAATACTGCCAGAAAAGTGGTGAAATATAGCTGTAGTGATTAAGATTAATATTCAGATACAATTCTCTAGCTGGCAAGTTGTTAAAACATTGAAGTAAAGTACCAGAATGGATGTAAAACTCCAATTCTGGAGAACTTTTACAAAGTTACATTAATATTTGAGTGATAATTTTTGATGTTGTGTTTCACTAAATTATTTTTAACTTTGCCTTATGCTTGTACTTCTATATTTAACCTACAACTGGAACCCAGGTGTGGTGGCTGACGCCTATAATCCTAGCACTTTGGGAGGCTGAGGCAGGAGGATCACCTGAGGTTGGGAGTTCAAGACCAGCCTCACCAACATGGAGAAACCCTGTCTCTACTAAAAATACAAAATTGGCTGGGCATGCTAGCGCATGCCTGTAATCCCAACTACTTGGGGGGCTGAGGCAGGAGAATAGCTTGAACCCAGGAGACAGAGGTTGCGGTGAGCCAAGATTGCAGCATTGCACTCCATCCTGGGCAACAAGAATGAAAACTCACTCTCAAGAAAAAAAAATTAATCTACCAGAGACTTCACGTTCTGTTTTATTATTGTTCCTATCTATTCTCACTGCCATAACAGTAGGTCTAACACCCTGGTAAGCTGGATAATTTTCCTTCTGGTTTCTGACCCTCATCTCTCCATCTCCTGCTTTCCTCCCATTCTTTCCACATCACATAAGCATAAGATGGTTGCTCTGAAATCTTGGTTTTTATCAAGTTACTCCACTGCTATAAAAACTAATATCTTCTCACTGTTTATAGCTATTGTTGTGCAAGGTATTTGGTGAGAACAGAGAAAACTCAACAAGAAGTCAGTGCTCAAAGAACTGAAACAATGCTGGGTTAAGCAAAGCTAAAGAAGAATAGAAATTTTACTCTATGGAGTCTCAGTACCTTTAAAAGGACAAAATATGTAGAAATATCTCATTTGATTTTGCTGAGGGAGCCTTCATTCAAAAATACCTTCTGTATTTCCAAGAAGTTATGATGTTTCATGGGGCAGAATGTTGGTTTATACAATTTTATAATTTGGTATTTAAAATCATATCTGTCCAGTTATGCCAAACGAGACTCCTGTGATCCAATTTGTTCTTTACCATCTTGTCCTTTGAATACACTTGATAATATCCCACTTCCTTCTTTTGCATATATAATTTAATCTGCCTAGAATACTTATTCATTATCAATTCTAACTGTCTTTAAATTCTTACCTGAATGCATTTTTCTTTATGTAGCCTTTCCCAAATGGTCCTGTTGTGCCATTCTCTTTCCTAAACACTATAAACACTACATATATAAACCTCATGGCTATGTATGTATTTACATCTGAGATATGCTAAATATCTTGATTTTATCAACCGTAAATATTTTCTATATTCATTATCGTTTAGTATGTATTTTTAGATTTCAATAACTGAAGTCAAATTTGACATAAAAATTTTATCCAAGGCAAATTTTTCTATTAGTGCTAGCTAAGTGATGTTATGACATCATTCCAGCTAAAAATTAAAACCGTATTACTTACACCAATCAATGTTACAGAGGGAATATTTTAAAGTGCTTCAAAAAAGTATCAATGATTACTATCCCAGATTACATCCTGACCTTTTTTTGACATCTGAAACAATTTACACATACTACAAACATAGATTGTACAGAATTTGCCTACCGTGGTAGTGAATTTTGCCTAGTCAAAAAAACTTTTTCCTACTTGCTATAAAAAAATAACTCTAGACATATGGGGTATTTATGCAAAAATTTTGCAAAAATGGTTTTATAAGGACAAAACATATACACGAATATTCAACACTAGTAATGATTACAAAGCTTTAAAATTAAAAGTATTTATATACCTTATATATGTATACCTGATATTTGTATGTATTTTAAAAATATACATATATATTCTTAAAAATTATGTTAAAAAGTTAGTATACCAGTTGTCTACACTGTTTTATCTGCAGTTTACAGTCCGAAACAAAATTTATTAGTGAAGGAGATCAACTAAAACAATTCTTTGTAAATAACGTGCAATATTAACAAGACTATAATGGAATTTGAGGATTCTAGAATTTTAATAATAAAGATATAATTTATACATTTTCTTAATTGGGGCACACTGTGTTAACACTCTCTAAGATAGTTTCCATCACTTACAAAGAACAGCAGATTTATAGAAAATCTGGGAGCTGATGCAGGTGCAGTACACTGATACTCAACCCCATTGTCAGTTTGTTAAGCGTCATAAGTTGACATGTTTGATTGCCGATACCTTGCCTCCATTGAACAGAAATGACATTTAAAACTCCAAAGTAATATCTAAATCTTTGTGACTCTTTGTCTGTTGTCACAAGCTCAAGTTTGCTTAATCCTGCAAAATTTTCAGGTATCCATTTTGCTTTTCCATTTCATCTAAACATAATTAGTTTTCCACATCCACTTTGGCACATGATTCGGTGAGCACATATTCCAAGGCTGTATCAAAAGTCTCCCATAAACCAGTGATTACAATATCTCTAAAACATCTTGCCTATGTGGCATTTATCTGTGATATCTATTTCTTATTTAACCAAATGGAAGCAGCTTGTCAAGCACAAATGCCCTATTTCTGAGATCTTTGCCCTTTCAAACAGCATCTCCAGTCCCCTTTCCAAGCTGTTCACACATTAAAAGTCTCTTTTCATAATGTAGTTGTATCCCACAACAGGCTTTTAAAAACTATGAAGGTGGGTTCTGGGGGACGATCCAAGATGGCCGTTTAGGAACAGCTCAGGATTGCAGCTCCCAGTGAAAGCGCAGAGGGTGAGTGGACGCCGCGTTTTTATTGCCCGCAGACTAGGAAATTCCCAGGCGGAGGTGCTCCACGCTCGCCAGCGCGGCTGTTTCGGCCCGCACGGCTATGCCGGCCAGCGCCGCTGCTTTGCCCTGCGCGACTGCTTTGTTGGCGCCCCAGAGCCGCGGTTCTTAGTACAAAAAACACCGGTCCGGGGGCCCTTTTGGCTGGCCACTGGAGCCACGGGAAGTCGCCCATACGCCAGTACAAAAAGGGGACTGAGCAGAGAACCAGGACAGTAGATTCCAGGGCAAAAAAAAAGAAAAAAAAAAAAAAAAAAAAAAAAAAAACGCCACAAACCTCAGTGCCGCTGTTTAAGCCAGTGCAGTGAGTGGCCGCAGGGGAAAACAAACAGACCCCAGCGCCTCTTCAACAGGCGACTGGAACACCAACTTAAAAAAGGCTCTGAGGCAGAGAGCCAGGGGATCAGGCTCAGCTGGTCCCACCCCCACAAAAGAACAGCAACCAGAAACTCTGGATTGAGAGTTTCACAGCAAGTGCAGCTGAACCCGGGACGGTCCAGCTCTGTGGGGGAGGGGCATCCGCCATTACCGAGGCAGCCCGCCATTGCCAAGGCAACCCGCCATTGCTGAGGCAGCCCGCCGTTGCCAAGGCAACGGGCCACAGCAGAGACTCCGCCCCAACAGAGGCGGGGCACCATCACCAAAGCAGTTCTAACTACACCCATATAAACAGGACTACAGGGAAGTTCACTCGTCAGCGGGGCGGAGCCCACAGCAGCTCAGCAAAGCTGCTATAGGCCGACAGTGACTCGGCTGCCTCCTTGCTGGGCTGGGCAGGTCTGAAGGAAAAAAAAAAAAAAAAAGAAGGCGGCAGCATAACAGAAACTCATAAATAAAGCCCTAAATCCCTGGGACAGAGCACCTGGGAACAAAAAGCAGTTTATGAGTTCTGCTGCAACAGACCTAAAAGTACCTGCCCAGCAGCTCTGAATGAACAACAACAGAGCTCACAGCTCACCATTTGAGCTCCTATAAAGAAGAGACCGTCTCCTCAAGCAGCTCCCTGACCCCTATATATCCAAAAAGACACCTCATAAAAGAGAGATCAGATTGACACTAGGCGGGTATCCTTCTGGGACAAAGATAGCAGAAGAAGAAAACTGGTAACAACCCTTGCTGTTCAGCAGCTGCTGCAGGTGAACCCCACGCAAGCAGGGCCTGGAGTGAACCTCAGCAGACCTACAGCAGAGGGGCCAGACTGTCAGAAGGAAAACCAAGGAACAGAAATAACCTCATCAACAACAAACAGAACGTCAATCTGAAAGATTTGAGACCCAATCTGAAAGCCAGCAACTACAAAGTCGACAGGTGGATAAATCCTTAAAGATGGGAAGAAACCAGCGCAAAAAGGATGAAAACACCCGAAACCAGAACACCTCTCCTCCTACAAGGGATCACAACTCCTCACCAGCAAGGGAACAAGGTTGGATGGAGAAGGAGTGTGATGAAATGACAGAATCAGACTTCAGAAGGTGGGTAGTAAGAAACTTCTGTGAACTTAAAGAACATGTTCTAACCAAATGCAAAGAAACTAAGAACCTTGAAAAAAGATTTGACGAAATGCTAACAAGAATGGACAAAATAGAAAGGAATATAAGTGAATTGATGGAGCTGAAAAACGCAACACGAGAACTTCGTTAAGCATGCACAAGTATCAACAGCCGAATTGACCAAGCAGAAGAAAGGATATCAGAGGTCGAAGATCAACTCAATGAAATAAAATGGGAAGGCAAGACTGGAGAAAAAAGGGTAAAAAGGAATGAACAAAGTCTCCAAGAAATGTGGGACTATGTGAAACGACCTAATCTACCTTTGATAGGCGTACCTGAATGCGATGAAGAGAATGAATCCAAGCTGGAAAATACTCTTCAGGATATTATCCAGGAAAACTTCCCCAACCCAGCAAGGCAGGCAAACATTCAAGTCCAGGAAATACAGAGAACACCACAAAGATATTCGTCAAGAAGAGCAACCCCAAGGCACATAATCGTCAGATTCACCAGGGTTGAAATGAAGGAGAAAATACTAAGGGCAGCCAGAAAGAAAGATCGGGTTACCCATAAAGGGATGCCCATCAGACTCACAGCAGATCTCTCAGCAGAAACCCTACAAGCCAGAAGAGAATGGGGGCCAATATTCAACATACTTAAAGAAAAGAACTTTCAACCCAGAACCTCCTATCCAGCCAAACTAAGTTTCATAAGTGAAGGAAAAATAAAATCCTTTGGGAACATGCAAGTACTAAGAGATTTTGTCACCACCAGGCCAGCTCTACAAGAGCTCTTGAAAGAGGCTCTACACATATAAAGGAACAACAAGTACCAGCTCAACTAAAGGGCAAAACAGCCAGCTAGCACCAAAATGGCACTATCAAATTCACACATAACAATATTAACCCTAAATGTAAATGGACAGAATGCCCCAAACAAAAGACACAGACTGGCAAATTGGATAAAAAGACAAAACCCATCGGTGTGCTATATCCAGGAAACCCATCTCACATGCAAGGATACACAAAGGCTCAAAATAAAGGGATAGAGGAAGATTTACCAACCAAATGGAGAGCAAAAAAAAGCAGGAATTGCAATTCTCATCTCTGATAAATTAGACTTTAAAGCAACAAAGATCATAAGAGACAAAGAGGGACATTACATAATGGTAAAAGGATCAATGCAACAAGAAGAGCTAACGATCCTAAATATATATGCACCCAATACAGGAGCACCCAGATACATAAGGCAAGTTCTTAATGACTTACAAAGAGACATAGACTCCCACACAATAATAGTGGGAGACTTTAACACCCCATTGTCAACATTAGACAGATCAACCAGACAGAAAATTAACAAGGATATCCAGGACTTGAACTCAGACCTGGACCAAGCAAACCT